GCCTGCCTGCCTCCCCAGGCGCCTGCAGGGCTGGGTGCGCCGGCCCCCGAAGGGCCGGTGCTCCCCAGCTGCGCGACCTCCCGGAGCGGGCTCCTGCAGCATGCCTACCTCCCCGGGCGCCTGCACGGCCGGATGCACCAGGCCAGTCTTTCTCTCTTAATAGAGGCAGGGTCCTAGCTCAGCCAGTGGAGTCACAGGACGGCCAGCCAGGCTTTGGGACAGGCCCAAGTGGATATTGGCAACCGGCACGCACAATCAGGTGTCCCAGAGTCAGGAGTCCTGAAGGAAGTACAGGAAGAGATCCCGGCACACTCTGTGGCCTCAGCTGCTGTAGGAAAGAATAGAAGAGAAAAAAGTTCTAAAAGCTAGGGCAGTTCCAGTGGTTTAATATATGAAAAGGCTGTTTAACTGAAGGTGAAAATACAGTGTAGTAATAAGAACTTAGGATGTAAAGTCAAGTTCTCATAGGTTCTAAATCCAGATTTGATATTTCCTAACTATGAAAGTTGCAGCAAGTCATTTAATCCCTCCACATTTCAGTTTTCTATCCTTATTAGCAGGGTCTCAGGGAAGATTAAAGGAGCTGTCTGTTTATAAAGTAAGCACTCAATTAATGACTGCTACGCTACAATGACATAATCAAATTCTATGTACTAGGCAAGGTATACAGGATCTACATACAATTATCATTCAACCCCCATAACAGCATTCATCATTACATCATCATCACAGTGATTATTATAAACCAATGTATGTTCAGAGTTTACTTTCTGAAGATATTCACTGAATACTGAAAATGACGTTCTTAGATACATTGCTGTTTTATCAAGAAGAGGACTGAGTACCCATCCTGCGTCTCATACTCTCTGTGGTATGGCTGGGATTTGAGTCCAAGCAGATTTGTATCTGCTATCAGACAGATAGGCGCTTGTGCCCCTGGGTTATATCCCCGGCCATGTATCTATTAGAAATGGGTAATCTGAGGCTCACAAAATTGATTTTCCAAAATTGCTTAGCCAGTGAGATGGCATCTACTGGAACTAGGTTGGCATGGCCATATCCCATGGGCGTTCAGTACACTCCTTAGCATGGGCTCATTGCCCTGGCAAGGAAGGAGATTCTTATCCTTGGACATGTTCAATTTTAAGCTGCCTGCCTGCAGAGTTTGTAGAGGAAGCTTAGAACTTTTCTTATAGGTGGACTACGTTAATCCCAGTTGAATTCTAATTTCCTATGTTAACTTGGACCCTAAAAGTAAATAACCTAAAAAAATAAATAAATTTAAAAAAGTAAATGCCCTGAAACATAGTATATAGTAGCAAAATTAATATTCATACATTAAAGGGGACATCTTAATTACTTGAAGATAAGATCCTGCTTGATTTTTGGCCCACCCTCCAATCAGGAATTTGTACCTGTACATAATATATCTTGACTCTTCTTTATTTTCACATTCCCCTCCCCTCTCTTTAACCTATCTTCCCCTCCCATATTGTAAAAGCTTTGTTTCCATTTTTTCCTTCTATTTTCTTTCTTTTTTTCCTTTTCCCTTCCTTTTCTTCCCTTGTCCTTGTTCCCCTTCCCCTTTAACATGTTCTTCCTATTTCCCAATATCTATCCGCCACTATATTTCTTCTCTATTCTTTGGATTTTTATACAAGAGGAACAATGCAATATTTAAACTTGTGTGTCCAATTTATTTCACTTCAGATTATGTTCTCAAGGTGCATCCATTTTCCTACAAATGACTCAAGTGTATCCTTTTTTATGGTGGAGTAGTACTGCATTGTATATAAATACCACTTTTTTTTATTCATTCATCTGTTGATGGGCATATAGGATGTTTCCAAGATTTAGCTATTATAAATTGTGCTGCTGTAAACATGGTTATGCATATATAACTGTGGCTTGATGCTTTTAACTCTTTTGGTGTGATCCCAGTTGTTGATCATAATATTTCCTGTCCAGTTTGGGTTTTGTTCATAAAGTCTTTGCCTGTACCTATGTCTTCCAGAATTTTACCTATTCTACCTTCCAGTAGATTCAGTGCTTCTGTTTTTATATTTGGATCTTTGACACATTCTATTTGTTGTGTGCATGGTGAGAGATATGGGTCTGCGTTCAATTTTCAGCACTGGAAATCCAGATTTCCCAGCACCACTTATTAAAGAGGCTATTTTTCTTCCACTGAAGGTGTTTGGTCCTTTTGTCAAAGATAAAGAAGCTATGCTTGAAGTTGTGCTTTGAGTTGTTTCTGCATCTTCTATTCCATTGATCCTTGGGGTCTGTTTTATTTTTTGTCAGTACCACGCTGTTTTTATCACAATATCTTACTACTTCTTTGTAGCATAGCTTCAAATCAGGGATTGTGATGCCTCTAGCCTTACCCTGTTGCCCAGAAATGCTTTTGCTGTTCTAGGTCTCGTCTGATTCCATAAGAATTTTAGGATTGTTTTCTCTAGTTGTTCGAAGTATGCTATTGGTACTTTGGGATTTGTATTAAATCTGTATAACAGTTTTGGAAGTATGGCTATTTTTACTATATTAATTATTCCTATCCAAGAACATGGGATAGCTTTCTATTTTCTGATAGCCTCTTTAGTCTCTTTTTTCAGAATACTGTATTTTTTAGTGTAAGGTGTTTCACTTCCTTTGTTAGATTGATTCCTAGTATTTCATTTTTCTTGATGCTGTTGTGAAAGGCATTGTTTCCCTAACTTCTGTCTCAGTGAGTTTGTTATTTATTTACAGGAATGCTATTGATTTTTGAGTGTTGACTTTGTATCCTGCTATGCTGCCTAATTTGCATATTAGTTCTTGAAATCTTTTGGTGAAGATTTTGGGTTTTCTATGTAGAGTATGATGTCATCAGCAAATAATGATAATGTAACTTCTTCTTTTCCTATCCATATTCCCTTTATTTCATGTTCTTGTCTAATTGTTCTGGCTAATGTTTCTAGAACTATATTGAACAGGAGTGGTAACAGTCCCTGTCTCGTTCCTGATTTTAGAGTGAAAGCTTTCAGTTTTTGTCCACTTAGGAT